TTTCACATTATTAGATATCTGGTTGCTAATATCTTCCAGCCTCCTAGTAACAGTCTGTTTTGAAAGGGGCACTGTTTGAAATTTGTTTCCTACCTTATTTTCATTGAAAGCTTCTGCCATCTTTATCGCACAGTTCTTAATTAATTCACCATCACTTAACGCTTTTTTAGCTTTCATTAATTCATATGTCACGAAATAAGAAGCCAGCAAAGCTTCTTCTTGTTGTTTTGTTTCATTGGTAAAAAGAGATTTCTGCTGGAAAAGTTTTTTCTTTAACTGATCGCAGACTACTTTCCTTGATTCGTGTTTTCCGAAGTTCTGTTTATGATTTGTTATGTAATGCGTCTTTAGGTTGTATTCCTTTAAAACTGCTAGCACTTGAAAACATACTAAACACTATGGCTTATGGTCTTTATTTAATATAAAAAAATAGTCATGTTCCCACTCAGATTTGAACGCCCTATTTTCACTATCAGCTTTTCTCAATTTACTATTTGACATGCTGTATCACAGTAACTTCAAACACAATTTTAATTGAAAAACAGTTCTACGCTCACACTCCGTAATCACACTTCACTTTCTAAAATCGCACTAACTGGGAGACATTTCTGCTAAAACTGGCACTTAACAAAGGCCAGGATGCCGAGAGAAACGGTAAGCAACCCATCCCTTCGAGCAAACTGGGAATGGTTATTATTTTGAAGGTGTCATAAATCCTTCACCACTACGGTCTTCCCTTCAGTCTCATCTCCCTACAGAAGTAGGGTTGGGGGACTTGGAATTTCCATGAAATGAACATAGTTATTAGAAAACAGTTTGAACTGTCCAACTAGGCAAGAACGTATACAGTAAATTGCAAAATGCTGTAAGCTAATGAAACGTCCTATTAAAAACAGAATTCTATGCCAATACAGCTGTGAAGTTAAGATTTTTGAAAATAAACCTGAGACTTGGCGGGGGGCCGGAGTAACCGGCCCGCGGGCCGCCAGTTGGCCATCGCTGTTGTAGACAGTCGGCTCATGGACGGCAGTAAGGTTGTCAGTTTTACGCGCTGGCCGCCCTTTACCCCCTTTTTTTCTTGATACTCATATATGTTGTAGGCTGAGTCGACCCCAGGGCTATTGTGCGGCTGGAAGGATTAGGTCAATTGAAAAATCCAATGACCTCATCGGGATTCGAACCCGCCACCTTCCGGCTTGTAGCATAGGTCACGGTTGGTTGTGTGTGCTTAATGGGCATAACGTGCGATAAACCGTTAACAAATGGTTGAATCTTGGGTTACCTAACGACGCTGTTTCAGCTGTACAAAATTTAAAGCGTAGCTTTCATATACGAAACGTAAATGTAAAACTATTATTGAAATTATCTGATAATGTTTTGAACGTTCGACCGTCTTCATATATGCACGTTTGCTATTGGCTCCGTAGCTGACCCACTAAGTTGGCCGATGTTTGCAGCGGGTATATTTGTTCTGTCAGTTTGATATATTGGTCTGTAATGCTACCATATACGAGTACGTACGTACTTGTTAAAATGTTAAATATTAAGATTGTTAAATTATTTTCTTTTGACAGTGTTGTTGAATTCTGAAGTCTCTTTGTTATAAAGGTTTTTCTTTTTCCATAGTTATAGTTTTGTGGATATGCATACCTGACAATGGCCGAAAGGCTGAAACATGTAGCAAGTAATTATTACGCAGCATATCTGTACAGAACCTGTGCTGATGGAAATAAATAAATTGGAAATTCAACAGAAGGTGACGCTACGATACAAACCAGATTAAGGCCTTCTGTAGACCTGTGCATACAGTTACTTTAAGTATTGTTAGATAATACTAAATAGATCATTCGGCTAGTCACAATGACGTAATCAATATATCGTATAATGAATTCCTGAGTAATGCTTAAGTTCCGGCTGATGCATTTTAATTTAAAAATATTAGTTTAAATCAGTATAATACTAACAGCATATATACTTATATAGGACTACATATGCAGAATGGGCAGGCCATATAGAATGAATGGGGGCGAAGAGGAATGCATATAGGATATTTGTGTGAATGTCAGAAGGAAAGACACCACTAAGAAGACCAAGACGTAGGTAGGGCGACAATATTAAAATGGATCTTAGACAGGTTGGGGAGTAAGGGGAACGTCCGCCTTTGGAAGCCTCTACCCAGCAACGGCTAGGGAAGAGTGGAAGACTCTTATGTGTGCTGTAGTTATAGTAATGTTTGAAGTGTTTAACTCTGAGATTATCATAGTTAATCTTAGTTACGTCCTGGAAGTGCCCAGTAAATCCGATCTTCAGTCCAGAAGCCATCTGTAGTCATTCTAAAACCGCGACAGTATGTTGTTAGTTTAATCAGATGGAAGATGATTGGACGGACGGAATTCTTGAGAAGCTAACAGTCACACATCTGGTTAGGAAATTCTCCGCCCTTTATGGAATCCAAAGGTCCATTACCATTTTCAGATAGCCCGTCACTGGTCCTGATTCCCAGCTAAATGAATTCACTGAATACTCTCATATTTCTGTCCATTCAATACTGGTCTGCCAACTGCGCTAAGGTCTTCAAAATAGTCTCTTTCCTTCAATTTTTTGAACCAAAATTTTGAGTTCATTTCTTATCTCTCGAGTACAAGGTACATTCCCCGCTCATTATATTGTCCGCTGCTTGACCGTCCTAATAGTATTTGGCACAGCTATGAAGCTCCATGCTGTGCAGTTTTCTCCAACCTCCTGTCACTTCAGTGTTTACTTGGTCATCGAATTACGACCGACTTCCGTTCTGACTGACAGGTCGTAAGTCGATCTAGTCGTATGTCGGCCATATATTTATTAACAATGTTTTTTAACCTTTCTAATCTTTTTATCATCTTGATAATTTATTTTTAAAAACTTTTACATTTTAATCATCTTTTATTTTTTATTTTTTATTGTGGTCGTAAGTCGACGACCAAGTGTATATAACAAAATTCCCGCCGTGTCGAGCATCAGGGCGATGCTAGGCCTACCGGGTTACACTTGCAGATATGCTACACGTGTTTACATGTAGGCCGAAGGGATTTCTGATGCATTCCTGAGCGCTTAAAAGAGCCGTATGCACAAACTTTCCCCTTACACTCTCTTCATCATTCTTGCCTCTTTCTCTTGCAGTTCTTGCGTAATCGTGAACTCACGATGACCAACAGTATGAAGTTACCCATTAGCGTGGTGCCACGGCGAAATCGTGAGGCGTGAAAATGTTCCGTTTTTGAAAGCCGTGACCACGCTTC